CACTTAGCTTAGTCTGCTCCTCAACATCTGTAGCTCAGCCTGGCTCTGCTGTTTTCCACATTTCATCTTGTTTGCAGTAATGATACTAAAGGAACACTGACTTCCCCCCACCCTCAAGGAAAATGGCCACCAAATGACATTTGTTTTTTATTTTTATTTTTTTTATTGCCAGAGAGCTTGTGTGTTCATCAGAGAGAGAGAGAGAGAGAGAGAATCACCTGATCAGGTATGATCACACTGCAGTCCTTTCTTCCCTTTTTCTCCATCTTGTCCGGATTCTGGGCATGCATACACAGGTGCCCAGCATGTTTCTCAAGCCACTGGGATGGAATTTGAACCACAATCAGCTGTGTGGGAACTGGCTTTCATGCATAGTACCTAACCACTACAGTACAGGACTGGCTCAAGAGAACTATTTCATGGTAGTTGGAAAAGACGTTAGTTTTTTAATAATATGCAATACATGTTTCTCAATAGATTCTGGAGGAAGCTGGCGGCCTGTCCAGTCATTTCTGAGCCACAGGATGAGAGATTTGGAGAATTCTCATGAACATATTTTCATAAGCTTCGAGGTTCTTCTGTACTCTGTGTAAAGCCTCTTGACAACCTGAGAAGTTTTGTCTAAATGGTAATCGCCATCATTATTAGCTTAAATTATCTCACAGGGATCCTACTTTTATAGAATATTGGAGGGAAACTAAAATTAACAGACTAATTGCCATGAAAAGGCATTTGAGAATGTCTACTAGCCTGTAGTCTGTAGAGGGATGGCTCAATAGAAAAGGCTACCGTTTCCATCCACGGAATCCATACAAAGAAGAGGAAAATAGCCCAAATTTAAGCCATTAGCCCCAGTATGCCATTAGGAAGTAAACACAACACTCATTCATAGGAGGAGAACTAGTTAATGTTAGAAACCAGCATTTGCCCAGGGAAATAAGGAAACATTTGAGAAATCTGAGCCCCACTGCTCCCAGTTTGACCCAGCTTATGAGCTTTTCTTTAATTTATTTTTTAAATCTATTTATATTAGGGGACCAACAGGTGGGATGGTGGTTAGGGCACTGGACACTCCCACGTGATCGACCACAGTTCAAGTCCGGGACCTGGTAGATTGCTTTACACTTTCTCTTGTCAAATTAAAATAAATGAATGAATAAGTAAAATTAAATACATAATTAAAATGTTTTAAATTTCTTTTACATTCAGTCACTGTATATCATTGCAGCATACAAAATGAGTTTTCCATCCAGAATTAAATACTCTTGAGTCATCCCTAAAAGTCAATGAAGTCCCTGATAAATGATGTGAAACTATCAATACTGTGTCCCAGCCCATAGTTCTTTGCCCCAAAATCTTGCCCCTCTCATTCATAAAAAAGCTCTCAGCCCTGTTCACTCTTTCTGCCTATATTGAAAAATCCTAGCATGGTGCCCTCTCCCCCATTTCTGGTCTCCAGTAGCCTTGCCTGTGTCCAGTTTGGGTCTCGACATCCTAGACCACAAAACGATGACGTGTGCTCTAAATTAACACCTCACCAGCATTTCTACCATGTCCAAACCAGTATTGTACTTTCAACCTCTTCTCCCTACTTTTATTCACCTGTGTGTAGTCTATAATTTTCAGTCCCTTCAGTCCTACCAACTCCCTGCTTAATTAGGTACAGGTTTTTTTAAAGGAAAAATTTTCCAATTGACTCTTTTTTTAAAAAAGATAACAGCTTTGGGGCCATCAGGTGGTACACTGGTTAAGGTGCTGGACTTCCACATGGTCAACTGCGGTTCAAGTCCTGGACCCCGTGACTTGAAACTCACACCAGATGTGTGTGTGTGTGTGTGTGTGTGTGTGTGTGTGTGCACATGCATGCCTGTAATTCTGAGAGGAAAATGGAGGAGAAGCAATTGCAGTGTGGCCATCCCTCCTGGGAGGTGATTTCTCACTTTCTCTCTCTCTCTCTGTTTCGCTGGTAAGCATGGACATCCTATAACAAAAATCTGTCTAAAAAAATTTTAAATGGGACCAGCAGTTCACGTCCCGGACCCGGTGGCTTAAACTCACTCTGGGCGCATGTGCGTGCGTGCCTAAGATCCCGAGAGGAGAATGGAGGAGAAGGGATTGCGGCGTGGCCATCCCCCCTGGGGGGTGATTTCTCACTTTCTGTCTCTGTCTTTGTCTGTCTGGTGAGCGCAAGCACCCTATAGCAAAAACCTCTCCAAAAAAATTTTTTTAAGTGACAGTTTTGTTGATATAAAATTCACGAACTATAAAATACACTCCTTTAACATGCACAGTTAATAAGTATATTTATAGAGTTGTGCAATCATAACCACTATCTAATTTCATTTTTCATTACTCCAAAAGAAACCCCATGCCCATTACCATTAACTCCTCAACCCTTCCTTTCCCCAGCTCATGGCAATGACTGGTCTGCCTTCTTCCCTTGTAGATTAGCCTGGAAATTTCACATAAATGGAACCATGTAACATGACCTTTTGTGCCTGGCTTTTTTACTTAGCATAAAGTTTTCAAGGTTTATTCATGTCATAGCATATATTTCATGTCTCTTTATGACCAAAAAAGATTTTATTAAATTTATATACTACGTTTTATTTATTTGTTTGGAAACATTTGGGTTGTTTCTACTTTGTGCTAGCAGGGGTAATGCTGCTCTGAACATTTGCGTACAAGGTCTGTTTTGGACCTATGTCGTCTTTTCTCTAGGAGTGAAATTGCTGGGTCATGTGATAATTTTATGCTTAATATTTTGAGGAACTATTGAAGTGTTTTCCAAAGCAGACAAGTCATTTTACAATCCTACAAGCAATGTCTGAGAGTTCCAACTTTTCCAGTTTCTCATCCACATTTGTTATTATCTGTCTTTTTCATAATTGCCATCCTAGAAGGTATAAAGTGGCATTTCATTGGCATTTTGATCAGAATTTGATTTGATGATAATGTTAAGTACCTTTTCTTGTGCTTATTGACCAATTTTACATCTTCCTTGGAAAAATATCTATTCCAAACCTTCACTTACTTTTTAATTGAGTTTTGTCATTTTATTGTTATAATTATTTCTTTATAGGTATTCTGGATTCTAAACCCTTATCTGATCATTTGCAGATATTTTCTCCCAATCTGTGAGTTGTCTTTTTACTGGTGACCTATGATGCCCAGACGTTTATAATTTTGATGAAGTCCAGTTTATCTGTGGTTTTTCTTTGGTTAATTGTGCTTTTGGTGTTCTAAGAAATCATTGCTTACTCACAAAGATTTACTCCTAGCTTTTCTTCTAAGAATTTTAGCTCATATTTAGGTGTTTGATTGATTTTTAGTTCATTTTTGTGTATAGCATGAGGGTGTGAGATAGACACCCAATATCATTCCTTTGCATATAGATATTCAGTTATCAACCACTAGTTACTGAGTATGATGTTAAGCATCTTTTCATGTGCACTGACCATCGTATATCTTCCTTGAAGAAATGTCTATTCAAACCTTTTGTACATGCATGTGTCTGGTCAAAGGGTGCATAAACTTATCAGAGGCCGTGGGGTGGGGGAAAGAGCACTTCCCAGCAGGGTGCAGTCATGCTGCAATCCCTTCTTCTCCATTTCTCTGTCTTTTTGGGATTTTGGACACACCCATACACATGCACACTCAGCTTGGTTTTAAAGCCTTTGGGTCTGGATTCAGACTGCAGCTAGCCATGCAGGATCCAGCTTCCTTAACCAATAGGTTAAAATATCGGCCCCCTTTGCTCACTTTTTAATTAAGTTGTCTTTTTATGGGTTGTAAGTTTTTGTTGTTGGTGGTGGTGGTTTTTTTTTTTTTTAATTGCTGAAGGGTATGTGCTCGCCAAAGAGAGAGGAAGAAAACAACTCCCAGTGGGGGCATGGTCACACTGAAACCCTACTCCATTTTTCCATCCTCTCAGGATTTGAGGAACACATGCACATGTGCCTAATGTGTTTTCTAAGCTGCCAGGACCAAGATTTGAACTACAGTCAGTCGCAGGGATCTGGCTACCTTAATCACTAGGATATGGGGCTGGCCCATGAGATGTAATTTTTTTTCATATTTCCCTAGTGATGACAATGTCTCAGTGCTATTCTAGATTCTGGGGAAACAGAGGTAAATAAGATGTTGCTGTGGCCTCTCGGGGAGCTTCCTCACAGTGGGGTAGGAGTGAGGTCACGTATAAATAGAAAACAACGGCATAGTGAAGTAATGTGTGTCTAAGGCTTGGCACTGTGCCTGGCCCCTACAAATAGCAAATGGTGGCTTCAGTAATAATAATTACTATAATAATATTTACATAATAGCTGTTATTATTATTAGAGGGGCCAGTAAAGAAATATCTACAAAGTACTGTGACAGGAAGGGAGTCATTTTTTCATGTCTCGGGTAGCTTGGCCACCTTCCGCATTCAGGGCCCAGGAACAGGAGGGTACAGAATAAGGCTCTTCCAGGCTAACCTCATTCAGAGAAGACATTTCTGAGGGAGGTCCTCAGGTATGAGTGTCATAAGAAGAGCTGGTCTTCTCGCTTCTGTAAATGTCAGCTTGGACCAGGGTTAGGTGATGGCTGATCCGGTCCCAGTCTGGACCTAAGAAAGAATGGCTTCTTTCATTTGTTTGTAGAAGATTTCTACAGGCTCTTGAAGGACTGTTAAAGGATGTTTGTAAAGTATACAGGTTTCTAAATAGACACATAGGTGCATTGTCTTAAATATTATATAATTAGGACTTAAAATCTCTTTTCCCTGGTGATCTTATAGTATATTGCCAAATTGACCTTAAAAGGCACAGAGAATGATGACTTTTTCATGTGGAAGTTAGCACTCTGCAAAGTAAACAAAATTTAACTCACCATATGAACTGATCATCTTAGTGGTGGGAAGGATGACTGTATGACACGTATTTTGGGCTCTGCATTATAAAAAAAAATCCAATTATAGAAAACAGTTTTAAGAAATCACTTTTCCAAGGTTTTCCATGATATTAGTCATTTGTTTTGTCATCTGCTAGCACATGTTCACAGAAAAGTGAGAACGGGTGCCATAAGTTTAGGAAAAATGTGTTGGAAATTTAAAAAAAATTTTAAGTTGAGCTCATTCTAACAATGAATAGAATCTAATTTAAACTACAAAACACTCAAGTCCAGTTGTGAAAGATGCAGATGTTTCAAAGAAAAATAATCTGAGAACCATTGATGCAGAGTTAAAATTTTAACTTAAACACATAGTATTTATCCAAAAATCAAGGCTTCATATCTGGTTTTAAAATCATCTGTGGTATTTTATTCAGTTTTTGGTTTAACCCAATTCATCGTGCACTTATTTACTGGCTATCTAATATGGAGAGATCCCTGTTTAAGTACATGATCCTTAGTCCTGAAAAAGCTTATGCTCTGAGGAAGAAATGCTGCCCGTACACTGCAATAAATGCATGAAAGGAGTCACCAAAGGTTTAAGAGCACAAGGCAAGGAAAAGTTGGGGCACATTTAGAATGGGCCTAACTGGCGGACCTTTCTGGAGGAGCTGACACTTGAGCTGTAACTCGAAGGGCCTTCAGAGATGGGGTAGGACAAGAGTACAGTGTGAACAAAGACTTAAAGAGAAGACATGGAGGTAAGCGGTCCACCCGGACCTAACAATGAGGGGATATGGCAGGGCATTCAGCTGGAAAGATAAAGGGAACAAAATTGTATCCGCTCGATAATGACAAACTAGTGGATTTGGACTTGATTCTGTAAGCCATGGGCAGTTGTCGAGCAGGGCCATGGCATGATCAGATCAGTATAGAAGTGAGTCGAAGGTTAGACTGAAAGTGGGGAAGAAATTAGAGACCGTTCTTGGCTGGTGAAAGTGCTGTTTTGGGGCCAGGAGGTGGCGTGGTGCTTAAGGTGCTGGATCCCACATGGCTTACTCAGCAAAAATCCTGCGAGGAGAATGGAGGAGAAGGGATTGCGGTGTGGCCATCCCCCCTGGGGGTGAGGGGTAATTTCTCACTTTCCCTCTTTCTCTGTTTCTCTCCAGTGAGCACTTGCACCCTATGGCAAAAAAAAAAAATCTAAAATAAACGTACCATTTTGCCGGGCCTGTAGCTCTGGGCATCAGTATTCCAACACTGATTTTGGACTGGCACAGGAAGGTCCTGGGTTTGCATCAGGTGGTCTCCCTGTATAAGGGCACGTGTGCCAGTGATCTGGGCTGGCTGAGACGGACTGAACAGCCGTGTGGGGACCCTAGTGAGGAGGTTGTTTCTCTTCCCACCCCTATCCCTCTCTCTCATGGAAGAAATAAAACAAAACTTTTTTTTAATGTCATTTTCCCCACTTCATTTCAGTTAACAACCCCAAGGGGGTAGCTATCTTGTAATTCCAGGGATTTGATACAGAAGTTCATGTACTTAAACTGTGGTGATTGATTGTGCCTCTGGCAGGCTGACTACTCTTGTCTGATATGTCAGGCAGCGGCCAAGTGAGCGCTTATACCAAGGGTAGCACCGACAAAGCATGAACTTCCTTTTGGTAGGAACAGAGCAAGAATAACATCCGAGTCAATACCCCGGATTCTCTCCTTCAGTGTCTCTTAGCCAAGGAAAGCACCCACCCAGATTTGCCTTTTGGAAACAGGACCCACAGGGGCCAGCAGGTGGCATGGTGATTGAGGTGTTGGACTCCCACATGGCCGCCATGGTTTGAGTCGCAGACCTGATGGCTTGCTTCCTCGCTTTCCCTCTCTGTGGTCAGGTTAAGAAATACGAAGTAAGGGACCAGCAGTTAGTGTAATGGCTATGTTGCTGAACTCCCATGTAGTCGACCGCAGTTCGAGTCCTGGACCCAGTGGCTTAAATTCACGCCGGGTACGTGTGTGTGCCCAAGATCCCTAGAGGAGAATAGAGGAGAAGGGATTGCCGTGTGGCCATCCCCCCTGGGAGGTGATTTCTCGCTTTCTGTCTCTCTGTCTCTCTCTTTCTGGTGAGCGCATGTGCCCTATAGCAAAAACCTCTAAAAAAGAGAAAGAGAGAGAGAGAGAGAGAAAGTAAGAAGTAAAATTTAATAAATATTTCTTTTAAAAAACAATAAAAAGAAAAGAAACAGGACCCAGGAAATGTCTACACAGCAGAAGAAAACAAACTGACATGAAGCAGGGCTATTAGATAAGACTTGGATCCCTAGGTTAGGATTGAACCCAGTTACCTAACCCAGCTCTGCCATGTACAAGCTGTGTACTCTTAGGTGTGTTACCTGACCATTCAGCACCTCTGTTTTTCATCTATACAAGGGGAGATAATGATAGTGTTCATGTCAGGGGTTGTTCTGATGATTAAATAAATTCATATACTTAGACCATTCTAAATAGTGCCTGGCATCTAGTATGAGCCCATTAAACATGAATTATTGCATCATTGAAAAAGTAATGACAGGGACCAGCAGTTAGCATAATGACTATGTCGCTGGACTCCCACGTAGTGGACCGTGGTTCGCGTTCCGGACCCGGTGGCTTAAAACTCATGCCGGGCGCGTGTGCGTGCGTGCCCAAGATCCCGAAAGGAAAATGGAGGAGAAGGGATTGCGGTGTGGCCATCCCCCCCCGGGGGGTGATTTCTCGCTTTCTGTCTCTCTGTCTCTCTCTGTCTGTCTGGCGAGCGCACGCGCCCTATAGTGAAAACCTCTCCAAAGAAAAAAGAAAAAGTAATGACATTTTTTTCGGGTTTTCTGTGGAAATAGACGTTAGAGTCTCTTGAGCATCTGTTAAACATGCATTTCGGCTCATCTGCATGCAGATGGGGATATGAGTCTCAAATCTAGTTCTACGACAGGCCTTATTTCCTTACGTCTTTTTCATGCCAGCCTCTTGTTAAGATTTGAAACTCCATTAAGCAGTTGTTGGACAATAAAAACACGCTATCTCTCTATGACACAGTACAGTTTACAAAGCCTTTCCATGTATCCACTGGGTCGCCTGAGCTCCCCTGTGACCTTACAGGTGGTGACTGATCTGGTCATCACTGTCGCTAACACACTGCCCCAAAGCTCAGAGGCAGAACGCAGTCACTGTTTTACTATGTTTGCAGACTCTGAGAGTCAGGAATTTCAAAATGGTCCAGCAGAAATGGCTTCTCTCTCAATCACAGAGCCTGGGGCTGCAGTTTGGAGACAATTTGAAAGTCTCGGGAGGATTTCACAAAAAAAAAAAAAGAGTACAGTGAAATCCTGATAAGGAAATCAGAAAAAACTATAGAATATAGGGAAATTTTATGTATGAACAATATATAAATTATGCATGATATTTGTATAATTATAAAGCTGTCATCCAGAGTTTTCTCCTAACACATTTTTAAATTTCATATGCGGTTATATCTGCCCAAATCAGTATCATGTTACAGTTCATAGGGATTATTTAGAAGAATACATTACCAGGTGTTGGGACCAGCAGTTAGCATAATGGCTATGTTGCTGGACTCCCATGTAATTGACCGCAGTTCGAGTCCCGAACCTGGTGGCTTAAACTCACGCCAGGTACGTGTGTGTGCATGCCCAAGATCCCGAAAGGAGAATGGAGGAGAAGGGATTGTGGCGTGGCCATCCCCCCTGGGAGGTAATCACCTCTGTTCTCACTTTCTGTCTCTCTGTCTCTCTCTGTCTTTCTGGCAAGCGCATGCACCCTATAGCAAAAACCTCTACAAAAAAAAAAAAAAAAAAAAGAATACATTCCCAAGTATCAAACAAGATTCAGAATTGATGATTGTGTAAGACTTACCTCATATACAAATAAGTTGGTAATATTATATGGCTAGCCTCAAAACTGGCCTTCAGTAAGTACCTTTTAGGAACAAATGCCCCAAGGCCAGCAGGTGGCGTGGTGGTTAAGGGCGCAGGACTCCCATGTGGGCAACTGCAGTTTGAGTCCCAGACCTGGCAGCTTGCTTTCTCATTTTCTCTCTTACTCTCACTCTGTCCCTCTCTTGTCAAATTAAATAAATAGTAAAGTTAAACAAACATCAATTCTTTAAAAACAAAACAAAACAAATGACCCACATAGTAGAAACCTCTTATATTTGCTTGCTAAATTTCAAAAAGTTGTTCGTTTTTGTTTTTTGTTTGCTTTTGCTACAGGATTTGCGTGCTCACTGGAGAGAAACAGAGAGAGGGAAAGTGAGAAATTACCCCTCAGTGGAGACAGCCACGCCCCAGTCCCTTCTCTTTCATTTTCCTAGAGATTCTGGGCACACATACACACACGCCACCTGGGGTGATTTCAAGCTGCCAGGTCTGGGGCACGAACAGCAGTTAGCCATGTGGGAGTCCAGCACCTTAATACCAGTCCACCTCCTGGCCTCTTGAAAATGTTTATTTTTTATAATAAGGTTTTACAAATATTGGATTGTTGGGAAAGTCATGACATATTTTTTCTATGCTTTTCTGCCCAAAATTGCATCATGACTTCTCCAACGACCCAATATATAGCAGTTTTTCATTGAAAATATTTTTAAATAAATCATATTGGCTTTTTTTGTTTTTTACCTTTTCTCCTCTTACCAAATATGCATGCAGACAAGGCACAGCGCTGACATGCATAGCTGAATAGATAACTATAAAAGAAAGCTGTACATGTACACCCAGGGAAGAAACTGCTGACACCAGAAGCTTCCCACCAGGCTCTCCTGCATCCCAAGTTTGTCCTTATCCCCAGAGTTAGTATGATCCTGAATTTTGAAACTACTGGAACCAGCAGTTAGCGTAATGGCTATGTCGCTGGACTCCCACGTAGTCGACTGCGGTTCGCGTCCCAGACCCGGTGGCTTAAAACTCACGCTGGGCGCGTGTGCATGCGTGCCCAAGATCCCGAGAACAGAGTGGAGGAGAAGGGATTGCGGCGTGGCCACCCCCCCTGGGGGGTGATTTCTCGCTTTCTCATGTCTCTATGTCTATCTATGTCTCTCTCTGTCTGGCAAACACACGCGCCCTTTGCAAAAACCTCTCCAAATAAATAAACAAATAAATAAATTTTAAAAAAGAATTTTGAAACTACTTTTCTTTATTGTTTATACTCCTAATGATATAAATTAACATCATTCAATTTTTGAACTAATTTCTATCTTGAAACATCTCAAACCTGCAGAAAAGTAGCAATAGCACTTTCACATACTCTTTACCTAGATTCCCAATTCTTTTAACATTTTACCATGTATTGTTTATATCTCATCGGTGGGTATCCATAAATTTTATTTGCTGAACCATCTCTAAGTAAGTGACAAGCATTGGTTTGAACTTTATGTGAACAGATCTGTACTCTGCATGCTATTTTTTATCTCTTCTTTTGTTATTGTTATGAAATTTGTAAGATTGATTTATGCTATTGAAAACACTATAATTTGTTCATTTTACAGTATAGGTATTATTTCATGTGTTTAAATACCATAGTATGTAAAACCCTGAGGAGACTAGAAGGGATTATAACATGGTTATCTCCCTTCGAGGGTGCTTTCTCACTCTCTCTCTTTCTCTGTCTCTCTTTCTGGCAAATGTACACACTCTATGGCAAATTTAAAAAAAGAAAGAAAGAAAAATAATTTGAGGACCACGGTTTTTTGTTTTTTGTTTTTGTTTTTAGAGAGATTTTTGCTAGAGGGTGCATGCGCTCACCAGAGAGACAGAGAGATAGAAGGTGAGAAATCACTCCCTGGGCAGATAGCAATACCACAATCCCTTTTCCTCCATTCTCCTTCATTCTCTTCTCAGAATTTTGGGCATGCATGCACATCCACCCAGCATGAGTTTTAAACTGCCGGGTCTGGGACTCAAACCATGGTTGACTATGTGGGAGTCCATCAACATAAGCATTGTGCTGGGCCCTGGAGACAATGTTTTAAAATTACAACAACTGGTATTATTCTCTAATTTTAGATGAGAGATTGTGACTCAGAGATTAAATAATTTCCCTAGGAATAGTAGCGGGGGGCTGTGGGGCTGAGTAGGCTTAAATTCTTGCTCTTTCAATTAGATTATTCAGTCTCCTTCACCTAATATGTATTTGTTAGTATATGAAAGTTCAAAGAAGAGAATTTAACTGACTTTGGGTATATTAGGTAACTTCTCTGAAAAGAAACAAAGATGTGAAAGTCTAAGTTTTGCATTTATGAGAGCTTGCACACAAACTTCATATGGTGAAGGCAGCTTGGAATAAGTTGAGTTCTCAGACTGATCAGACAGCAAGTTTGTATCGTTTTCCACAGGGAAAGA